GTGTGTTTTGGTTGGCTTGCGTCCCCCTCCCTTGTTTTTTCTTCACTATCCTGTAAAATTGTTTTCTTCTCTTTTTTTTTTTTTTTTTTTTTTTCTTTTGTTCGTTTTTCTTTCCCCGAGGGTTTATAATTACTTTTTTTTTTTTTTTTTTATGGTTGCACTCGCGCCCCTGTGTTTTTTTTTTTTTCTGGTTTATTTCTTCCTTTTCCCCCCCCCCCCCCCCCCCCTCATTTCATTACATCATTTGTTGGTTTGTTTGTGTTTGTGTTGTTTGTGTTTGTCTTTGGTTTTTGGTTGGAGACTAACACGAGAATTTTACCTGCACAGACAACGACAACGGACTATGCACCCCTCATGCCCATACACACCATGATCGACCAGTCCCAGCCCCAGCCCCAGCAACAGACACAGCCACAGCCACAGGCAACGCCCAGCCATTACCATCAATATCACAGCCTGAGCCAACAAGATCAATACTTCAAAGTGCAGCGCTCCCCGGATGGCAAGCTGAATCTGGTCTTTAACGATACGTTCGTCTCTTTGCAGGGCACAAATCCGGCAACGGTTACGATGCCAGACCAACAGGGGGAAGCCCAAAGGACGCGACAGCCGCCAGAGAATCGTAAGTAGTCCAGTCCACGTGGTCCCCAGTTCAGTTACATTTTATACTCGCCCACGAATATACAATTAACAACTAAATCGATCCCATACTCACACGGCCAACTGCCTTTGGCGCTGCCTAACTTCAGCTATTGTCTTTCCCGATTCAGCAGTCATGCACCAGATGAGGACGCCCGAGCCGCCACTGATCAAGCGGGATATACCGCAGTGCGTCGAGGATCAGGACAATCACAAGTCCAAGTCATTCTGCACCGAAGTGCAGAACTATCCGGATCTGTCGCGCATCAAGGGAAAGCTCTCGCAGAATTTCTCCAATTTCTTCAGTGATCCCGAGCCCGTGCCCATGGACATCAGTTCGCGACTGGGACCCAACGATGAGGTATTTCTGTGCCGTAGCCACCGGAGGTACTTGTACCCCAAGTCGGGCCTGAAATCGGACAACACCTGGCAGTTTATAGTCAACAACGAAGAGTTCAAGCAGGGCATACTCATTGAGGAGTGCGAGTGAGTAGCTGTCAAAACAGCAAGTCCCTTTTCCGATTATGTAAATATGTTGAATGCGCTTTGCAGAAACGAGGACATGCCCTGTGACTACTCCTCGAGCTTCCCGCAGCGTTACAAGCCCATCTGCAAGCAGCACTACGTGATGCGAATGCTGGCCAGTATTCGCAACACGAGCGGCGAGGAGCTGGACGTGGCCCAGGAGTCCTTCAAGATACCCTCCTGCTGCAAGTGTGTGCTCAAAGTTCTCTAAACGAGACCATTCGAGGCGCTCGATGCTGCTCGTAGCTGCGATAATGTGATTTTGAGGTAGGTTCATCATCATTTATTAACTCTCAAACATTGAATTTTTAAACTTGGGCCAAAGACTGCAACAAAACGGACGAACATCTGAGCCTTGGGCACGGCCATCTACTTGATCAACTTGCGCAGGGTATAGCCAACGGCGTAGAATCCCACCAGCTTCAGGGCCATGCCCTTGCTCTCCATCTTCATCATGCTCTTCAGCTTGTCCTGAACATTGCCGAAAACGCGATCCATTTTCACAAACAGCTAAGGGCGGATAAACTTCAAACTTTTGTGCAAAAATAACAAAATTTGTTGGTTCGGTGCGGCGTTTGTTTTACTCGAAACTTGAAGGAGCCAAAAAATATTAGAGACTTTTACGTGTGTGTGTTCCTGCTTGAAACTGATTTTAGAGACTGACGAAGTAATACACATTTTTTGACAGTGCCAAAAGAGAATTGAAAGGCTTGCTGTGTGCGCAGAAGGTTTAAATCCAATTTCTAATTTTCCATTTTGATTTTTCTTTGCAGCACAAAAGTTTCACCCACCACAGAATGGCAGGCCAAACTGTCCCAGGGGTCGTTGTTGTTTTATAATTTGTATTTGAATGCACAAAAAAAGAAACAAAAACCAGCTGATCCAACTGGCAGATAGTCCGATCTAAGTTAAGGCATTTGTAATTTCGTTTCTCATCGAGTCAGTGTAAACATATTCGTGTCATATTTTGCTCCTGTGCCTGGTTTCCTCCTCTGTGCCAGTGTCTAAGCTAAGCTAAGCTGCATGCAATTGCATTATAGTTCTAGAGTACGAAAAAATCGTTTCAAAAATGTATGTTAACAACAACAGAAAATGTATAATAAATGTATGCAAGTACATGACAGCAAAGTAAAGTTCTTTGAACCCGAAACAGAGAGCTTTGTTTACTTACAAACCAATTACTTCATGGCTAGTGTAAGTACATCGCAGGCGGCATGCCACCACACAACATTGCAACAGAGTAAGTCTGGGACTTACATATGTAGAAATCAATAACATTTATTGATTCCACCATTGATTTGCCACCACAAACTATGTCAAAGTTTGCCAGTGGGCGGGCAAAGTGCCACCATTTAATTGCTATTATTAGGGGAATCCTGCCACGAGCGAAACAAGACATTGGGCCATTGCTCAGGGTCATCAATCATGCCCCAGCAAATAGCATGTGGAATTCCATATCAATTAGCAAGTACCTATGTAATACTTAATACTGCATATGGTTTCCCCATTGTAATGTCATTTATTTTCTCATTACGCCACTGGCCATCGGATTGGATTGTGGTCGATTGGCCACCGTTCGTGTGAGGTTTGAACTCACAAAAGAAACTACAGGACACTGTGTACTCCACTGTGAAATGAGGTATACCCTAGAGTGTTGTTGTTCCTGTGGTTATCCCTGCGGAAAATCAATCGACTCACTCCCCTAAGGGGTGTATGCTGGAACGCTACAACAATAGGGACAACATGCAGGACACTCAGACACTGGCAGTGTCTGTATCTGTGTCTGTGTCTGTGCTTTGGCTCGGCTCCCCGTAATTGCCGCGGCACATTTGCATGGCCAAAGGAGTTAATGGGGGTTGCCTGATTTGTTGGTTGTAGTTCTGCTATTGTTGTTATTCGGTTGCTGTTGCTGCTGCTGCTGCTGGTGTCGTATCGGTGCCGACATATAAATACGTTCTGTTGACGACGCCAGTGCTCCAATACACCGGTTGTCGGCAGCTCCGTCCAGTCGCCTGCAGCACTGTCTCCACTTGAGTCGATTTTTGTATACATATAGAGAGCAGTTGCTCCTGGCCTGTGCCTTTGCTTATTTTTGCTTGCATTATGCCAAATTATGCAATGGCCTAAGAGTCACCAAAAGACTGTTTCCACACTGTAAATTCTCACTGAGATGAGCAATGAGCAACATGTGGACAATGTGACGTGTACACAGATTGAATAGTGAGTGTTGCAGTTATCGCTGAGATGCCGCAGAGTGCTTGGAAAAATCACCAGAAAATGCACTTATTATCCGTGAATTGAGTCACTCGAATGGCTCGCAGGGGCACCACGTCAGAGCACACGACCGCTGACGCCATGGATGAGCGCAATCGCATCTGGACCACGGGCAGTCTAAATCATGGCTTCTTTCACGAGAATCTACAGCAGCAGCCACTGCCCCTGCAGAGACAACAGACACCAGGTGAGTCACGTTTGCATTTACTTATAATTTATGTTAATATTTGTTACTTTGATTCGTGTTCAATTAGCCAAGTTATGGTTGAGCATCCGACCGCAGCATTGTGGCTGACTTTAGGTGTCAACTGGCAGACTTCAGACTCTGACGGTTCGCCTGTGGCCAAATAATTGACAGCCAGCCCATTCGGGTGTTCCGATCAGCATCGCCGAGTAGTTCTCGCCCTCCGTGGGCGTCACTGTGATCTCGTCATCATCGATGCCCTTGTCCGTGTATCGGCGAGTAATCATCTCCGATTCGCTAATGTCGCACCTGACTTGTTGCTTGGCCATTTGTTGGGGCTTCCTGGCCAAGTTCTTGCTTCTTAGGTTCCACTCGCCGTTGATCTTTTGCTCTGCGGCTTCCCTGAAGCTTGCATTGCTGCCGCGCACGCTCCTCTTCTCTTTGATTGCTTTCATTGGGGAAATGGCTCTTGCTGAGCTGCCACGCTTGACCCTTTGCTGCAGCTTACTGAAGCAATTGTGCACCAGATAGGGACCCACAATGGTGGCCAAGACCACGAAAACCAGAACGTCACAGATGCTGAGCAGATGCTCAATGCGCTTGATCATGCGACCCTCAAAGCTGGCTGCCTCATTGAAGATCTCCATCAAGTTGTACACATCGTCGGCCATCACGAACACATTTGCCTCCACTTCAGTCGTGTTGAACCACATCTTGGCTGGATCGCTAAAAGCAATTTCTATTTATTTTTGTACTGACAATTTGGGGGCGCCCGAAGGGAACGTACTGATACACAAAGCGTGACAGATAATGACAGGATACTCTGTGTCTGTACTCAGTGGAAACAGTTTTAAAATGGGCCAAACTATCGCTGGACACGCAAAAACTTTGTTTCAGTTCACTGAACTCGGTGTCCCTCTGGGGGCTAAAGTGCACCACGTGACGCGTGCGATTAGGGACACAAAAGGTGCAGGAGACACTCGCTGGCGGTGCCCCCGATCAAGATATGGCCAGTAGCAGTGCCGCAGCTGTGAAAACATGAAGCTCCACGGGGTGGGCAGCGTTGTGACAGCAAAAATATTGACAGCATTAGACTAATTGGCGCCAATAAACACACACATTGCGGGCCCATTAGTGGCCCAAGCCCCCGACAATGTACTTCTTGAACCATTGCAGGTGCTCTGAGCCTATTGTCCGCACCGGTTCGTGCCACAAGCGTTGATGGAAACGGCATGGGCAATGGCCATGCATCGGCATCGGCATCGGCATCGGCATCGGAGAGCAAGCAGCTGCCTTACCAGCGCATAAGCCCAAATCTGATTGGGATTCAATCAAAGTGAGTCTCAGATTGTGGCCTTCATTTACGCACTCTGTAAACTCCATCCCTGCAGATTTCGACGCAGCTACTACCACAAGGTCGTGCTGGGTGCACTGCTGGCACTGGTAATCCTTATGCTCATAGCAATCATAGTTCTAAGCGTATCCAGTGAGTAGTTCTGGCGCTGCCAGCTGCTGCCTGATCTGATCCGCGATTCGCTTTTGCAGTTAAGAAATCGAATCCAATTTGCCGCAGTCGGGAGTGCATCCGCTCAGCGGCCAGCCTCATCTATGCGATGGACGAACAGACTGATCCCTGCGAGGACTTTTACAAATTCACCTGCGGCCGCTGGGCCGAGGAGCATCCGCGGCCGGACTCCGTCACCTCCAACGACTGGTTCCGGGAGCGACAGGCGCACATAATGCGGCTGGTGCGCGAATTTCTGCGCTCAAACATCAGCAGCGAGGAGCCACAGGCCGTGGGCAAGGCCAAGACCATGTACAGGGCCTGCATGGACACCAAGCAGTTGGATGCGCGGAATCTGGAGCCACTGGTCGGGTATCTGCTGCGCTTCCAGCTGCCCCTGCTGCCCACGTCCCTCAATCTGACGCTGGGCAGTGAGTCCAAGTACGCGGCGCAGGCGTCAAATGCCAGCTACAACTGGCTGGAGTCCCTGGTGGCCATCAAGCAGCATCTCAGCATGGATCTGATCATCGGCTTCGATGTGTTTCCCGATCCCTTCAATCGCACCATCAATCGCATAGCGCTGGGCACACCCGAAACAGAGTCAGCGTTCCCATTGTGAGTGTGAATAATGCTGGACCTGAAGCCTCTCTAATCCTTCATTGCAGCAACAACGATGACTCGCACAAGCTGCTGCGCAAGATCCACCGAAAGACCATATTCGCGCAGAACAGCGACGAGGACGACAGCGAGGATGAGCTCGAGAGCGATGAGGAGGAAGCGGCCAAGCAAACGAGCGCTGGCATGTCCGCCTACCTCAACTACGTACGCAAGGTCATTGAGAAGTATTTGCTGTACGTGGATCCCGATGTGAATCAGGAGGAGGCCACGCTGGGCATCTCGCAGCTGGTCAAGCAGGGCGTGAAAGTAGCCAGGAAAATCCACGAGGTGGGAGTGAGACACACAACCAGCAAACGAATTCAAACGAATTCCCATTTTGCAGCTCAAGGAAGAAGCTGAAAACTCTACGAAACCTTCGAAGAACCCAGCAGATGACATCATCTACATGTCGCTGTTGGAGCTGCAGAACCAAACGGACAAGAACATTGCCCCGAGGACGCTGCCCATTTGGCTGCGGTACATGGAGCTCATACTGAGGGGCACGCGGCATGCGGGCAACAGCCACATGAGCACCGATCTGACGATCATCACCAGCCAGGCGGACATCCTGTACCTGCAGAACGTGGTGCAGTATCTGGAGGAGACGCCGGAGTCGCACATTGAGTCCTACCTCTGGCTGAGCACCATCGAGGAGTTGGTGCTGCACACGACCAGCTCCATGCGGCTGCTCCACTCGGAGTACATGCGTCTGGCCATCGGCACGGAGGGCAGCACACCACGATCCCTGTACTGCGCCAATGGTGTGAACAGTCTCTTCGGCATGGCCGTCAGCTATGTCCTGGCGGATGAGGAGTTCACCAGGGAGAAGCTGCCGCGCGTGGAGCGCATGCTGAGCGACATACGGCGAGCCTTCGATCGATTGGTGCGCTCCACGTCCTGGATGGATGCGGCAACCAAGCGAAAGACCATGCAAAAGTCCGCGGAGATGAAGAGCTTCATTGGCTTTCCCTCGTGGCTGAGGAATGGCACGGCGCTGAATGCGTTCTACCGGGGGGCAGAGGTGAATGCCAGCATGCACCTCGAGAATCTCATGGGCTTCGTGCACTGGCAGATGATGGAGAAGCTCAACGAAATGGATAAGCCGGAGCCAATTGGTTGGGCAACCTCGCCCTCCAATGTCAATGCCTTTCACACATTTCAATCGAATGCTATAAGTGAGTGTGGGTGTGGCCAGTGGGAGTGCCAGTTCTGTGGCTAATCCTAATTGTCTTCTTGTAGCGGTTCCCATTGCCATTTTGCAGTATCCTTTTTATGACCTCGGCCTCGAGTAAGTCTGTCCCCCCGAGCACCTCCTCCACTTGCCGCACTCTTGCACAAAGCACTCCGCCTCCTCCTCCTCCTCCTGGTTGCACTTTAATCCTCCTGCTGGTCTTGCTGAACTGAACCCTTGCCGTGTCCTTGTTAGGGCTTTGAATTACGGCTCGATTGGCACCATCCTCGGGCACGAGCTGACCCACGGCTTCGATGACAGCGGGCGGCGCTTCGACCGGGCAGGGAACATGGTCGAGTGGTGGTCCAACCGGACCATCAGCGAGTACATCAACCGCACAGAGTGCTTCGTGGAGCAGTACAGTCGCTACCATCTCGATGACATTGATGAATTTGTGAGTCGATTCTCTGCGTAATTAATGGCTTCATCTAATCATCTTTCCACACCATCCACAGATCGATGGAGAGCTGACGCTGGGCGAGAACATTGCCGACAATGGTGGCATGCGTGAGGCCTTCTACGCCTACCGCCTCTACGTCAAGGAGATGGGCAGGGAGCGCTCGAAGCTGCCGGGGCTGGAGCACTACACACACGAGCAGCTCTTCTTCATTGCATTTGGCAATCTCTGGTGCGAGACGTACACCCCAGCAGCCTCTCGCTACGCACTCAGCGACTCCCATTGCCCCGGCCAGATGCGACTGCGGGGCGTCCTGTCCAACTCGGAGGAGTTTGCGCGGACTTTCAGGTGTAAGCGCGGCACGGCCATGAATCCCCATCAGCCCAAGTGTCGCATATGGTGAAGGGTACACTCGGGGGCACACGCAAACAGGAACAGTCAAGTGATTTTTCTACATCTATGAGCTAAGAATTTAGTTTTTAGATCAATTATACATATACAGGATGTGTCTATTGCACGGTTCCTTGGCCCAAATCCCCGCACATTTATGCTCGTTTTCAACTGATTATCTTTAATATACATTCAATTAAATTTACAAAGATTCGACATTTACAACGACACTTAAAACATTCACACAGAACCTCAGATGGAGTAGGTTTCGGTTCTTTGGTTTGCCTCTTCCCTTTAGAGCTCCGTGCAGTTGCCGCCATTCACATGGAACTCTCGTGGAGCCGGCTCCTCGGCTGTGGCAGCTACCGCAAAACTGTGGTCTCTGCACATGAAAATTGGCTCTAATTGGATGAGAAGAACATACCGAAAGGTGTGGGCAATGTTTATGTTTGATTTAAATGCTCATTACGTACCGCTTGCATAGAATTGGCTCGTAGCTTTCGCCTTGTGCTGATGTATGTGGTGCAGGTGTTCACACGATGCAGGTGGAAGGCCTCTTCGGTTCCTTCGTCAGGGGAGAATGGGGAGAAAAGTTAGCAAATATTTCCTGGGTTTAGGTGGAGAAATTACAAATTGCGGTGCTGCTCATGCGACTGCTTGGCAAATGCGTGCTGCTTGAGTGAGTGTCATGCATACTCGTAGAGGAACAGAATGAAAGGAACAAAAGCTACGGCTACTACGGACATTCCCAGATCAGAGACAGAGACGGAGACAGACGGACGACTGAGAGACAATTAGATGTTGCAAAGAATCACTAGAACAAAATGTACTTAGAGAGAGAGAGAGAGGGGCGGCACCTAATGCGTATTTTAGGTTTCCTGACTAGACCATCACCGTTTCGGCGGTGATGATACTGGAAGGTCATCTCACCGGTTGCTTCGTAGCTGCGTTCGCCGCGACTGCGCAGATACCGGTGCAGACAGCAGCAGCGACGCAGGCCGGGCACACGGTACATTATCTGCAGGAATCCGCCACGAAATCTGGCATTCATGTAGCAATAAATGATGGGATTGTAGCAGCTGTGCGACATGGCCAGCCAGTGGAAGGCCAACCACACGTACGGCAGCGGTTTCCACTTTCCAAACTCCTCGTCATTGAGCAGCAGCTGTCCAAGAGGGATTATTTTTAGATGCATTCAAGAGTTGCCCCAACTTTACGCTCACCTGCAGTATGTTGAACGGCAGCCAGCAGATGGTGAACACAATCACAACCGTCAGCATCATCTTAATCATCTGCAACAAAAACCGAAGCTTACTTCATTTATGTGTGCCACAAGTGCCACAATTACTTTGTCTATTTATAGCACTGCGGTCCCAGTTTCACGCTTTACGACCTTGACCTTATGGCCCTAAGCTATGGCTGTAGCAGAGCCCCCCCCTGTAGGGACAATGACTCGCTTTTATGGCCACTGGCAGCTGCCTTGAGTCTCAGCTAAAAGAGTTGCGGGACCTGAGATTTGGGCAAGTTAATTAAGAATTGTGTGTGCCTCTTCTGGCATACCTTTCTGGAGCATTAAATAAGTTTTTACGTGCTATTTTTTGCTACATTTTTAATCTACATGCACATGACATGAATACTTCAATGTCAGCCTAAAAGTCTGCAACATTTAGCTGCAAAATGCTTCATTTTTCCTGGAAGCGAAGGCACCCCTTTTCGCGCTTTAACCGCACCCAGACACGCACAATACCTATAAAAATGCGTATTGCTTTGCTTCAAAGGGGATTTTGTTGTGCTTTGACAGCTGAAGGTTCCAAGCATATGGTTTAGCTTTAACGAATAGTTTCGCCATAAAAAGTTACCCAGCCGACACAAGAGTTTTGGGTTTTCTTAGGTTTCTGTGCAGATATCATCGAGCTGCAGGAGAATGGCAAATAATTTAGCTCGATGATGAACTCATTGGGCACGTCTCTCACGTGACCACCTGTGCTAGACAAGGCATAAAGGTTTATGGCCCTGAAACGAATGCACGATAAAGTTGTTAAGGCCAGTTTGCCGGTTGCCAGGGATTGGCCATGGATAGACTTGGATGGGAAAGGAGCAATGGCATAAGCGAATCATATGCGAGTGAAACCTTTATTGAAGTCTGATGGGCAATCATGGGCAGCACAATGGAATTGGATTGGATTTCCATGCACATCTCTACGACAGAGCCAAGGGAATTTGTTGCTCAATGTTGCTGGCGGCGATTATGAATTGATTCAATGGCCGCATGAATTCGAATACCAGCGTCAGCAGCAGCTGACAGCTTGCTGGCAGCTTGCTTTTTATGCAGGCCATTTTGATGTTGCTGATTCAGGGGCAGGACTCGCTGCGTCTCCCTACCAACTGCTATTAGCGAGTGCTCAACGAGGCCATTTGATTCGTTTTAATGCCTCGTTAGTTGGCTCACTGGCTGACTGGCTGGCTGAGTGTTAACAATGCAAACATTAAGTATACGCACCGCTGTTCAGGCGTCAAAGCACCAGAGACGCGAGGCAAACAAAGACCAAGAAGCCACCTAAGCGGGTAATGAATGTTTATACAAATACAAACACAAATAGAAATATGTTTTTCTTGACGCCTCCGCTGGAAGCACACAGTCTGTGACCTTTGGCCCCGGCGCATGTGTCCGCTGTGCAGCCAAAAACTTTCCCTCAATCCAGTTGGATATTGTGGGTGGCAGCTGCAACATCATCCAGGGCCCGCCTGCAGCTGGAGGGTGTCCACACGAGACAGGCACCCCCTCAAGCCCATTACTCAGGCAGGCATAAGAGCTGGCTGAAATTTTTGTTGCTGCCTGCGGCTCCAGTCTCATCTTTTTTGTTGGTCTCCGAGCTTTGACAGTCTCACGACTTAATTGGCAGCAGCGTCTGGTTGCCGGCATTAGCCACAATCGTAACACACTTAGCCTTTGCTTGGGTTTGGGTTTTGTTTTGGTTTTGAACCGGTTAGCAGTGGCGGCAGCGGTCGCGCCGCTCCTTCGGTTGCGGTTACAGTTTATGGCTACTACAAGTGTCATGCCCGCCCATCAAAGTTAAAGCCTTACAAAAAAAAAACAGAGCTCCAGTTGTCTAGCACGGAGCAGCACAACCAAAAAGTGAGAGGAGCGAAAGGCTGACAAATGAATTTTGATTCACTCTGTCTCGCAGAGTATTCTCCCCCGAAAGACTGAATGATATTTCGATTTGAATAGAGAAGCCTCTCCCCACTCACCATGATGAGGTGCAAAGCGCCTCAGAGTAATTCAATAATTAAATTTCCTGACACGTTCGCGACTGCCAAATGGCTTCTACAGGCCAAAGCCTCTCCTCTATCCTGTCCTGTCCCCTGCTGACTGTCGTTCGTTTTGTTTAATTAATGAGAGGAGTGCGCCCGAAATTGATTGCTTTTTAAGTGCAAAGAATTTGATTTATATATTTAGGCAGTGGCAGTGGTAGGAGGAGGAGGAGGACAGCCTGTCGAATGCAAAATGTTTATTATGTTGCCGTAACTTTCATTACTCACGAGTACGAGTACGAGTACGAGTCCCATGGTTGTGGTTAAGAGTAAGTAGTTTTATGTTGGCTTTTCGCAAGATTTAATTTCGCTGCCGTTGTTTGCTTTTGCTCTTAGTTTCCCAACAGTGAGAGACAGAGGCCCTAAGCGGTGAGTCCAATCAACAATGGGCGCGGTAAGCGCATTAAACGATTTTGATTGCAACTCTTTGGGCAGGTCTCTCGTAATTTGTATTATTACCCACAGAGCCATACATCTCTGGGGTTTTTTCCGCCCGGGGTTGAGCTGAATGCCATTGAAATGGTGTATAAAAATTGAAAGCAACATTTCATTCACAATTGGAAATCTCTTTTTTGGCGTGGGAGTTGGCCACACAAAAACCAGTTTGCACTCGGCGGGGGGGGACCCCAGTTAATAATTACAACTGGGAACTAGTTCAATCGACAGAGGCATACTCGATTACCCGCTGCTATCTGTTTACAATCTATTAATCAATTCAATTGGCTCATCGCTTAGCGCGTGCCCCGCCGGCTGCTCTGGGATCCCTTGCTCAACTCTGGAGCACCCCGAAGCCACACTTAATTGCCAGACAATTGCGAAAGTGCCAGAGGTGAAGAGGTGAAACAAAGTCTGTGCTCAGCCAACCGCGGCTTAAATTGTTATCCATGAAGTGGGCAAAAATCAAACGGCCCAACTAATCAGCAACTAATTTGCACAGCAATTCGGCAACTCAAAACTTTTGCGGTTTGACTTTCTTTCAAGAAAGTGAAAAATTAATGTGGCGTGGGCGGGACTTCCCCTGCTGGCCAAGTTTCTGACACAGTTTTCAGTTGAAAGTTTTCTCAAGAGAACTCAAAGCAAGGCACAGCATGTGAAAGGTCACAAATGGGAAAATGATTTGTTTTTCCCATTATTTGTTTGGCATTTTTCTCTTGACCAAACATCGATAATGGAAGAAGTTCGTTAAAAGTATCATTAAAATCCAAAAGTCATAAAAAAGCAGCACAATGGAACACGAAACCGTCTAAATGTAGAAGCAAAGCAAATGGACTTTTTCTACGCTGCAATTACAGCCAAGGGCCAAAGTTTAATGTGGGGCCAAGGGCAAGGCATTGACCGACAGAAGCAGCAGCTAATAAGTAAATGGAGAGATGGGAGTGCTACAAAGGGCTGCAAAGATCCCTTTGGGGTAAGCCATATTGGGCGATAAAACCACATCAAGTTCAAAGGCAGAGAAGTGTTTGACGGGTTTTTGATGAATCGCCGTGACGGGAGTCTTTGGAAGTCTGCGGACGGCGTACGTGAGAGGACTTTTACTTTTACGACTGACATACATTACAATTAACACAGTTCGCGGCGGGGCTGTGTGCGTTGTCTGATGAGGTGCGTGAAGGGTCTGCTGTCCGGGAAAGGGCCCACGAAATACGCGCAATTAATTAAAGCGCCCAAAGTGTCATAAACCAGGGGCTCAAGGGGGAGCCAGCCCTGCCCTGGCAGCCCTGCAAGAGCCCCGTCAATTAAATGAAGAAACCGAAACCGTGAAAGTCGAGGACTGGCACTCCATACTCCCCTGTCCCCCCCCCCACCCCCCACCCCCCCCTGTTTTTCCTTTCCTTTTCTTTCCTTTCCACCTCGCTATCGCTGGCTCTCGGCTGACCGCGCGCGCGGAAGTGTTGTGCCTGCGATTTATTGTGGGCGTGTCACTGGCAGCCGGGGGAAAAAATAACACTCAAAAAAAGAAAACCCTCAACGCGGCAGTGGGGGAGTGTAAAGTAAAGGTCATAAAACTGTTCGTTTATGCCGCAGCAAATTCGGATAAGACGGGCAGAGCAAGGGGTCTCACGATAAAAGAATTTCGTGTCCGCGAGTCGAGCCTTGGCCTCGTGTTTACCCTATGGCCGCCGCCGCTTACAAATTGAATTTTAAACATTTTTCTTTTGCACATAAATTGCTTTTTTCTCGCCCTCTTTCGGTTTTATGCACATTTCTGCTGACATGCATATTGAGAGGGTTACTTCCAGATCACTTGCCGGGCAAAGTCTTTTTTTATTCGTGGGAGTTGCCTCGTTAGACGAATCCTTTGGGAGGCGAACATCTCAATGCAAAGGTGACATTGTTATCATCAAAGTTTCACTTGAGTTCTCTCTCCGCACATAATAGATTCTTGAGGTTTCTGTAGCTCTCTGCCAATGTTAAAGCTCTCAAATGCCAAATACATGTTGCCCAATGAAAAATTGGCAGCCCCAAATCCTGTCACAATAGAGGGGGGGGGGAAGATTGTGCTGCTCTGAACCAATTTTTGGGACAATGTTGCGGGCTGCCGAAACTTTACAAATTGCCTCCGCTTGAATGTGGGCGTGTGTGTGTGCTCCGTGTTGGGGCTTTTCCTATATTTGATTTATACTTTGTCCAGGCTACTGTACTGTACTGTTCCTGTCCACCCCTGCGAACCACACCCCCTAACCCTAACCATATGCAAAGCAATGTTTATGGTCTTTTTGGGCTTTTCGTTTTTGCGGACAATGTGCTGGGCGGACAGCACGCTCGAACTTTTACGAGCAGGCACGGAATGGCACGGAGTAGGCTACACACGTGCAACGTGTGGCATGGCAGGTTTAGTGAGTGCATCAACGATATTGTTTCGCTAGCATTTGACGACCAACAATGGACACTTGGGGCAGGGCCACACAAGCAGGTCTGCTACAAGTGCGAGTAGGAGTGATTAGAAAGATGGCAGGAAGGCAGGCAATGCTTCGGATTGGGAATGGGAATGGTATCCATGGACATGCGGCTTTCAATCGGACATTGTGTGGCAGGCAGAGGGCAAAAGACCAACATGACGGATTGCCATTGATTGTGCGAAGTGAGACTCTCCGCCAGCTACAGCTACAGCAAATGGCAGTTGTGTTTGCTGTGAGCCCAGACAGGCGGAAGCAAAATCATATGCCCGTAAAATATGATGCTGAAAACAAAGGCAGCGGCACAAACCGAACCGAACCGAACCAAAGCGAATGATGCTGCCAAAAGCAAGATCAAGACAGTAGGCGGCAGACGGTTAAAGGTACAAACATATGTACACCAGCAGTAAGCAGCAAGAGTAACAGTAACAGTAACACCGAAACAACCCCAATAACAACAAGCACACAAAAGTGAAAGTGACAAAACAGAGAAGAGCCAGAGCAGCGCAAAGCATAGCAGAGCAGAGCCAGATCAGCGCAGAGCAAGAGCAGCGCAAAGCAGAGCAGAGCCAGCGCAGTGCAGAGCCGCGTCGAGCAAAGAGGAATAAGCGCGAACGAGCGGCAAAGAGGAAGAAGCTCAAGCAAGCGGCAATGACAATGCCAATGCTGTGCTGCTGCTGCTGCTGCTGCTGTGGCTGTCCCGTTGCTCTGCCGCTGTATACTTAAGGCATTAAATACATTGTACGAGTACGCCAGAGAGAAAGAAAGACACACAAGCCGAGAGCAGTACGAAAATTAAACAACAAAACAAAAGCAACAGTTTGTTATTAACAAAGTAAAGCGGAAAGATCTGCCAAACAGCTACCAGCATACACTCTACGAGTGTGTATTTAGTATTCCTCTTGCAACTGTCGACTAGAAGTTGCTTGAAAGATAAAAGCCACAGTGGGAGAAAAACTTTCTGCAATTTTGCACACAGCCAGCACAGTGGGTGCTGGGTAAAAGCGCATTGCTACAGATACTAAAAGAGTTTTAAGAGTTTTCACACTCTTTCTATGGCATTCCCACAATTGCGGCATTCGAAAGAAAAACATGCCATTCAAACGTTTCAATTTAATTAAATGGTTGGCCATTGCGGGTTCAGCTGCTGTCCACTGAATGCCACAAAGAAGTGCGAAAATGAGTGGAAAAACTGGGAGCGCAGTTAAAGGATACCAAAATTATGTTCATAATATAAAGAAATTACTTTTTAATTAGTTGCACAGCTTGCACCAAGAACTTTGCCCTAGAAATGCCCAATTATTTGCACTTTCTTTTTGGTTGCGGATAACTGAATTAGATGGAACCTAAGTGATGGCTAAGCGAAAAGGGAAACGAGGTCAGCGGAAAGTGAGTCAAAGAACTTCCCCTCTTTTTTTCCAATTCACTTGACAGCATATACTAGAATAAGGAGCTTAACTGCAAACCATAGAAGATATGTAGAGCTTATGAAAAGCTTTCTCGTTTCGAGCTCCCAACGGAACTTTTATAGAAGTGGAAGGAGCAATTGGATAAATGAATTTGTGCAATATTAAGAAAATGTAAATAAGAAATGTAAGAAAATACCATTGAAAATATACTTTAAAAGTACTCCATCAATGAAAGATGTTTCCCAGATCACAGGAAGTCGTAGCAGATCGAAAGATCGTATGAGAAACGGCATGAAAATAAATGTTTGGCACGACTGAAAGATGTTAGCAAGAGAGAAACTACTTCTGGTATGAGTTCAGTTTGCAAAATTCAAAGAACTGTTTTTGGTTTTTTTTTTTCGTAATTTTGTCACCGTTGTTTTTTTATTATTGAGCATAAAGTACTTATTGTCTAGTATAATTAAAATATATATAGATTTATGTGTATGCATGGAGCATTGTGTCAAGGCCCCGCTTAATCTTCATCTTCTATATCATCATCATCATCATCATCATCATCATCAATTATGATCATCTTCTGTCATCGCTCTTTCGGGCGCCCAAGCGAGATTCCCATCCAAGGAATCCGCACTCGTCGCCCATTAGCTAATAGAATTTTCAGGTCAAAAGTTGAAGAAGTAGATGGATGGAGAGCAGAGTAAAGTGTGAGAGAAAGTGAGAAGTTTGGAAACGTATTATATACAAAAGAACCCCACTGTGCGGGGGTGTGGATCTAGCCCCGTGTTGAGGAAAGATTGTGGCAGTGTGTCGAGGGGACCAGAGGAAGGGACATAAAAGATCGTCACGTTTCGGGTCAAGTCGCAGTGGTTGTGGTGGTGGTTGAATGTTGATATGTCGATGTGTTGGAGATTCATTGTGAGAGTTGGGGGTGTGGGGGCGAGGGGGTGTGGGGGCGTGTCAACGACAGGACTAGTCAGCAGCTTGAGCCGAAGTTGAGTTCGAAGTTCGCATGATTGGTTGGATGGTGAATGCTTAGTATGGGCCGGACTTGCCGGGTGGTCCGTAGTTGCTGGACGGGGCCGAGATGGAGCCACCGCCATCGCCGCCAGAGTAGCCACCATCGCCGCCTCCGCCGGTGGAGTAGCTGCCGCCGCCGCTGCTGCCGGAGATGCCGCCAGAGATGCCACCGCCCGACTCCTTCTGGGTCTTGTACTTGATGAAGTAAACCTCGGGCTTTGAGGGCTGTGTGGGTGCGGGTGTCGGGATGACAATGTCCTGCTGATCCTCGGGCTTCTTCACCAACACGTAGACCAAAGTCTTCTCCTCGTTCTGGGGCTGCAGGGGAATGACTGGCGCCTGGTACGAGGGTGGAGATGGGGCCTTAATGAAGATGATTTTGTAGTGCTTCTGGGACTGGCCAATGGGCAGATTGGGTCGCTGACGCACTTCCTCCTGCTCTGGTGGCGGCACATGCACATAGATGTGCTTCTGCACCAGGGTGGTGCCGCCGCCGCCGCCGCCGCCGCCGCCTCCACCACCGAAACCGCCAATGCTGCCGCCTGCAAAGTGAATTTCAAATAAAATTTAACTCGTGATCGAAGTTGCACCTCTGACGCTCTCACGCACCTCCGCCGAAACCACCGCCGCCTCCTGAGCCGCCACCGAATCCACCTCCGAAGCCGCCGCCGCCGCCGCCAGAGCTGAAGCCACCGCCGCTGGAGCCAAAGCCTCCGCTGGAGCCGCCGCCGAAGCCTCCGCTGGAGCCACCGCCGAAGCCTCCGCTGGAGCCACCGCCGAAGCCACCTCCACCTGAACTACCTCCAAAGCCACCACTGGAGCCGCCGCCTCCGAATCCACCGCCGGAGCCACCACCGCCGCCGGGACGGTTGTAATTGTAGCCAGCCTCAGGGCGGGCCGCGGCCAGGGCCAGACAGGACATAAGAATGAAGGCTTTCATGGCTGCTAAGTCACGGATTGATGGGACGGGACGCGTTGCTTGTGGATTGCACTTGGGGGTACTCGGATTGCCGGATATTCTCTTGCGGTTTCGGATCTAACAACACACGGCACACACTTTGCACTGGCACTATCACAGTAATCCTAGGTCTGTGGTGTGTGTTGTGTGTGCGTGCGTGTGTGTGTGTGTGTGTGTGTGGGTGTGTGTGGTGGAAAAAAAAGACAAGAGTTAGGACGTTTTGCTGCTGCTACACTTGGAGGACTTTGCTGGAGAGCCTCACGTTTTAGTATCCTCGACTTGGTGCTCGGATGCTGCTTATTAGACCAAATCAAATGCTTCACTGACGAACCACTGCAGCCGCATCATCAATTTATACAGAAATCCAGCTAGATGCAGGCTGCCTGCTGGCTGCCACAGAGCGCGGCACACACACACACACACCAACAACACTCAGACATTGGAGATGCGAGAGGGTCGGAGAGGGTCTTTTTGCCATGCTCATGATGATCATCACACGTTGCCGATGATGCGACTTTTGGGGGATCTGCGCATGCGTGGCCAGGCCAATACTGAGACTCTGCTTGTGGCCATCTCTCTCTTTCAGAGTCCGAGTCTCGAGTCTCGAGTCTGTGTCTGGCTTTGGGGTCTCTGTGTGTGTGTAGGCTGCTGGCAAGTGAAACCGAAATTACCGCACAATCAACTTATTACAGCACAGCAACAACTCGAGCTTCCCGTTGTCGGATGTACAGGAGAGTCACCGTCAGACTCTCTCTCTCTCTCTCTCTGTCTCTCTGTGTGTGTCTCTGCTCCAGTCACAGTCTGTATCCCAATGTCGTGCACTTTCGCTCTCTCACCGCTGGGTCTCTGAGGCCTGGGACCTCCGACTTGGCTTGGGTCTCGGCTGCCGCACTTGAGCGTCAGCTGGCCAACGGTGCAGACTCTGTCTTTGGCTTTGGCTTTGGCTTCGAAATTTCTGCATCACGAGCAGCGGTGGAAAGTGAAAATCAAAAGAAAATCCCACTGCTAACAATGGCAATTTGAATAATTTTTCGAGGCTTTTGTGGCCGAGCGTTTGTGTTGTGTGTCTGGGGGGGGCAAGGAATTTCTTCCCCCGAACATATGACAAATGCGAATACGTGCCACGATAGATTACAGACTGACTGAGTGAATGGATGTGTGTGCGTGTTTTACGAGTGTGTGTTGCAAGTGTGCCACTGTGCAAGGCCCAAGCTACAGTTCGAGAGATTTGCCGCAAAGATAATTCACCACAAAAATTGGGTTGGTCGTGTTTGGGGTACAAAAGGCGAAATTGTCAAACGGGATTAGCCTTGGGACTGGCCGCGCGACAAAGTCCAAAGTCTAAGGTCTAAGGCCTTAGCAAATATTTCGCCATGAATCAGAGATTTCATATATTTATTTTGCATTTATACAACTTTTGTCTTATTTATTCTTGCATCATTTTGGCACAAACAACCTTTTAAATGCCCATAACATATATCTTTATTATTCACTCATTTAATTGCTTCAAGTTTAATGCAGTTCCCCCCAGATCGAAGCAAAGTTAACGTTCAATGAACCGAATATAATGGCGAGGAAGGTGTGTGGGAAGGCAAGTGAGAAAAGGGAAAATTGTATAAACACTTTTTCAATTAGTTGGCAATGGGATTTGGGAGATTTTAGGCCCAGCAATTCGTTGAGGTTTTTAATATAATTCAACATAAAACCACGGCAAAGGGTTTGCCCAGCAGTAAGTTTGCATTGGAGGAAGCTGCAAATATCAGTAGCTGACACATTGAAGTCTTTGTTCGAGCTCTTAGCTCTTAGCCCACTCGATTACTCATGTTTGGTGGTGGCTAATGGATGGAGGCTTTCTTTTCAAGCTGGCCAATTACTTGCGAATGGGTATGAATAATCTGGCGGATTATCATGCTTGGGGCTTGTCTAGAGTGGGTCGCCAAATGGCAGAGAAACCCGTTCGTCATTCGGAATCATACAAAAATAATAACAATAAAACGAAAATGCAAAACTGCAGTCAAGCTGTCGGTGGGAAATGGGATACGTTTCCTGCCACCAACAAATGTCCCGTGCAGCGTGCAGATTTCACCTTGAATCTGGCACTCACAGATCGATCTTGTTGCGTAACCAAAGCCCGAGCTTCGGGCCAAAAATTCGTTTTTTTTTTTTCCTTTTTGCGCCTAACGAGCGGCCAACATCGAGCGACTTTTCGTGTATTGACAGACTTGTACAAGTACCACAATAAATTGCTCCACTGCAGGCCATGTGGCAATGTGGCAATGTGGGAAACGGTAAGCACCCGCAAAGCGCTCCTAGAGAGACCAGAGAGACCACAGCCAGGCAGCTCCATTGGGAGCACTGGGAGAATGCAAAACGGAATCCAAGTTCGAGTTCACATCCGAGTGGCGCTCTAAGCGCTTGCCTTGAAGTGCAAATCAAGGCTAAGTTGGCTAATTGTATGCGCTTTCTGTGGCTTTTTGTTCGGCATTTTCCCCACACAACTTCCGAATGCCTTTTGGGGGGGGGGTAAAGCGCCAAACAATCCACTCAACGGGGAGCATGAAATATAAATAAATGGGAAGCAGCTTCCACTCTTTGGGCATCAAATGTAATATCTTTGAGGGCAATAATTATACCGTATTTGCGGTGTGTTTTAAATGGTAAATTGCATTTAATTGTTATGCAAATTGATCGCGCTTTAACCTTCTGCTCCCCGACGGCGCTGAACTTTAATCGAAGAGCTGCCGCCGGGGGGTGGAGGGTGGCAGGGAAGTGCGATGCTTGTTGCATAAACGATGCAATGCGGCTGACTGTGCAACATTTTGCATGACACTGAAAACAACGCACACGCAACGGGAGCAGCTTTAGCTCATCCCCAGGCAACGTGAGGGATTTCGATGGATTGCTGGATGGTGGCTGGTGGCGGGTAGGAAGCTGGCAACGACGACGACAGTTGTTGCTTCCTGCATCTATTGTGGGACTTGGGATGGCTATGGCTGTGGTGGCATCTCCACTGTCTGCCCAGCGCCACTTCCTGCTTGTTAAGCAAACGAAAAGAGAGACAGAGAGACAGAGAGACAGAGAGGCAGACACAGAGACGAGCAACGTGCAAATTTTTGTTTTATTGTTGAAATTTTGCTTGTGGATTGCAGCATGAACGAGCGAGCGAGCCGTTTGACTGCTTTGCTTTTACATTTGACATTTTTGGTGGCACTAGATGTTGCCTCTTGCCGCTTGCTGCTGCTGCTGCTTGTCGATGTTGCCGCTGGCTGGCGCCAATTGCAGCTTCCATCTGTCCAGCGATGCTATCATCGATGGATGGGCCAGATGCATGCAAGATCTCTGGCCAGACATATTATTTATTTTATGTTTGTTTCTCCGATTGTCTTCAATTGAAAATGTTGCTGGCTGCTGGCTGCCTGCCGCCTGTTGCTGCGGTTTTAAATGCTAATTAGTGTCAACGACTTTTTTGTTGCAGATTTAACGGCTGACCATTTGGCCATTTAAACTCCGCAACGACACAGCTAGTTGTCTAAGGTGTCTATGCCCCAGAGCGGAGACCTCCTGGCACCTCTCCCAGACAACCAAAAAATATGCTCAGTCTGTGCTCAAGCCGTTTGTCATTAACCTTCGTTAGCAGCCGACACTTAAAAGTTGTTTTCCTGGGCTCGATAAAGTTATTTCAACTGTAGCATTAGCTTGTGTCCTCAGCAGATGTGGCCCTGCTAGAGGAACCACCGAATTTTGGCTTTAAGTTCGGCTAAAACTCAATCCAGAACCCCAGCAGACCACATTCCGATTCCAGTTTGCAGAACTTTGTTTTCAGTATTTTTTGTACACACTTTTCCGTGGCGAAAAGGAAGGAGCTGTTAACTTAATTGCAGTACGTGTGAAGGAACGAATGAAAGAATGAATGTTAGACCAGGATTCCCTTGAACGCTTCCTTCCTTTCTTCCTTTACATGACACATGGAGGGATGTGCCAGACAGTTGGGTTGGGGCAGCTGTTTGCGCCACTTTTTAATATGCATTCGTCATTGAGTGTTACATTACTCGAATTTGCCCCTCCAGCTTGCCTTTTGCCAGGACCTTTGCTAGCAGACATTAATCATGCGGTTGCAGTGCACCACACGTGCCACATGTGTCTCCGCGAAGTTCACACAAGTTGAAGGCAAGCACTTGGCACTGCAAGAAAGTTGTTGGGCGTTCTGCAGCAGGAGTTGCCACTTCTCAAAGCTGAGGGGGACACTGGCACAGGACACAGTAACTGGCTGCAACAACGGAAACGGGTTACAAACGCCCGGGGCACGCCCCTCGACTGCCAAGAGAGCAAAACTCCAAGCAAATCTGGGTCGATGTTGCCTGCAATTAAACGCATTACGTTGGAGGCGCACATAAATGCGAATGGCTCTATAAAATGAAGGCAGCGACTTGGATTGTTTGGCGTGTTGTGGGGAGTGCTCGCGCAGCATGTCGTATGCGTAATTTAACAAATGAAGTGCAATTCGAGGCGCCTCTCGTGTCTCGCAGCGAAAACGTGTGAAAAAGAAACTTTGTGCTGCGCTTCCAATTGTGCTTCAGCCTCTGCTCTTTATGTCTGCCTCGTATCGTTAAAGTTTAGCTAATGAAATCGTAAAAGTCGGCAGCATTGAGCCAGAAACAATCAAGACGAGACGCCGCCCGGATGAAGGACGACCTGTGCATGGATGGACAGATTATGCATTGAATTCCAATGAGCTTTTGCACTCTCACACGGATTTGCATTTGTTGAAATTGTGTTGCAGCGGGAGTCAGGCGGAGTCGCAGATGAAGTTTGAATTTGAAATATTTGTATTTCACAGCACCCAGTGGCAGTTGGTGGGTGTGTGGCGCAGAAGAGAAATCTACCAAATTGGAACTGGGTTTATAATGCCAATCTTTGGCTGTAATCTTTGGGGCAAATCTAGCGCTGGGATTGCGGTCACTGAGGCGTTCGTGCGCCTCTCCAAATGCTGCATGGATGTTGTACATCATTTCAGTGACATCAAAAGAGAGCTATCCCGATATTTGTTTTGCGCACTTCCTGGAGCCCAGCTGCACGAGTCGAAGCCTTTTGCATTTGCATATCTGTCGAAATAAGCCATCAAAGCGTCTGCCGTTCGTTGCTCCATGTGGGCTGGCTCTTGGAACGATGCTTGGACTCGGAGTCGGAGTCGGAGAGCTAGAGTCTCGAATACTTTGGCGCGTTGGCAACTGTGGAAGAAGATAATGCAAATGGTCATTAGGCGCTGAGTTGGATTTGCAACTTTATTGGCCGGCTTATGTAATCGGCGTCTCTGTCTT